AAGAACAGCAGCACCAGAGAAATAAAAACCACAATAAAAGACAAGAAGAAGGAATTCCAGTTAATGACATCTATCTAGGGAGATTGCCCCTGCGGGGAATGGAGCGACATGGAAGGACATTCAGAAGGAGGATAGCCCCTCAGACCGCTAAAATTCACTTTGTATCTTGATGTGACGGCCTTTTTAAACCTTTTCTTGGTTTCTCCCTACTTGATGTCTTCCTTTTCTTCTTTTTCCCATTCTCACACCTTCCTTTTCTCCCTGTTGCTCCATTCAGTTGACTTTGATTTGGGGAGGTTTTTAGGCACACAAGGATATTAGAGTTCTCTCTAAACATTCAGTAAAACTGGTGACTTACGAAGCTCCAGCACTGATCTGCCATGTACACCCCGGCTTCATTCTAGTTCCATAGTTAGTGTAAACGAAAGGAAGGATCACTACCAAAATTGCTCAAATGGGGTGGTCCTAGTTAGGAGCTTAGGTGCTACAGCTAACGTTTTACCATGTAGAACATCACAAGAGGTAGCGGTGGAGTTTTGCATTTGGTGAGCAGAAACACCAAGAGCTAAAATGGTAAATCTCATCTAACACATCTCTTTTTGATTAATGCGAGTTAATGAGCAGAACTGAGGGGACATTAAAGGGACACCCATCCTGGGGTGCCAACCAGCAACTAGCGTTGGGTTCGATCATGGTAACCTGTTTGTCTGATATAACTAGAGCAAGAAAAGGGTCCTCAGCCACGTCTCTCTTGCTGTGTGTTTGATCTCAGGTGTCAGGCACCTTCTTTGCTGTGGATCTGAGGGCTGGTATGTTTTGTGTACTGCACAACAGGTAATGGAAGTTGTTATAGGTCTGCTAACATCTCCTTTAGGTTTGGGCTTTCCTAGGGCCTGCTCCCATAGGAATGCGATTATTCTGTGAAGTGAAAGAGAGCTCTCTCTGTACTGTGAGCTCTCATTGAATTCCTGCCTCATCCTGGAGGCAGGGCTGCCCAGAGCAGCTCTGAGATGCAGACCTCTTAATAGCACGTTGGCAGATCTAATCAAGCCCACAGCACAGTCTGCGGCAACCCACCTAAACCAAACTTTGCCCCTCTGCACTCGTTCTTTAGAAGTACTCAGCTCCCACCATTTCAAAGCAATCTTTTCAGAAAATCAATAGTTCTTCATCTCCTTCAGAACGAGAGCAAGTAGGACACTTGGACGTTTGCTTTGTAATCTCTTCAAAAATTGCTTTCTTGTCTTCCCAACAGAATTAGGAAATATTGCACTACCAAAAAAAAAAAACCTAACCTCTCAAGCTTTTTCAGCACAACGTCTCAGTTGTAGGACCAATCTTTGCATTCCTTTTCATTTAGGGATTACCCTAAGCTCACTGCTCTGTTTATACCTTAGGCACACACATACATCCTTGTTCCTCGCACAGAAGAATTATTTGTTCTCACAACTCCACTTTTCAGGAGCCTGCTGTAGGAACCTTTGCCATTTTAAAATTTCCGTTTTCTCTCCCTCTTTCCTCTCAGTGGCCCTTTAGCTATGAAAATGAACCGCTCTGCTCCCGCAGTGCTGAGCTGCTGAATCCAATCAAGGAAGGCTGGCCAGGCTTCACATCCCCGTCAGACACAGCGCTGACCTTTTTTTCCTAATTGACAATGCAGGGCTTTGTGCTAATAGGATGACATCATTACGCAGAGCTGAAATGCTTTCCCTGCTGTCTCTTTTGTCTCTCAGTATTTTTCTCCCACACTTTTCGAGGAAGTATTTCACTATGTGGGAGAGTAAGGAAGACAGTTACACCGTGCCGAAAAAACACACGCAGAAAACATCCTCAATTTTTTCTCTCTTCATTTTTCCTTAGTTGCACGAGTTCCCAACCACACGTCCTGAGCCCTCGCTATGTGCTGAATCTTCCTTTTCCTTCTTCCAGGTTGTGATCACCGGTGCTTCTTTTCTGTACTTGCTTTGCCTCACTGTCCTGAGATATGCCGCTGGGGGGATTCTGGTTCCTTCTTGATTTTGATTTATAATTGTCGTTTTTAGCCTGCTGTCCTTTTACAGCTCTAATTTTATTCAAACAACCTGTTAATAGGATCCTAGTGCATCTCTACAGCAAAAAATAGTTATTTGAGGTGCCTAATTTTGTGTTAAATTGTTGGCAGTTAACTTTTGCTGTGATACTAGATAATATAAAGTTTAAAAATAATACTTTAAAGAATACATGGAGGGGAAGAAGCTCCAAAGAAATGGAAAATATTGAGCTTTGGTTTAGCTGTCCTGTGAGATTGGCTCACCCATTTCAGTGACTACTATAATCCTTTAAGATGCTGCCTCAAAGGTTAAAAAAATGCCTTAATGCTGGTTATAGACTGGCAGCCATGTGCCAAAGCATGCAGTCTTGGCTAAGCCAACAAACCAAATAAATACATACGATGGGTTTTTGCTGGAGAAGCCAGACAGAGCAGAAATTTCCTCGTTCTGCCTGTCCCCCTCTGCCATGGCTGACGTATTGGGTACTCCTAGCTCATGGTACATATTTCCAGCCTGCTTCAGTGCCTAATGAAATGGATTAGCTCAATTCCCAGGTACTTCTGGGAATCTATTTACCCTAAGCTGCTTTAATTTGCACAGAAAGGCACGAGGAGCTGCAGCAGTAGACGAGGAGGGTAATATTGACCAGTTAGGAGAGGCAGCCTCTTAAATCACTGAAAGTATCTCTCCAGGACCACAACTGCCTATATCCTTACTGCAAAAAATGCCAGCCTGAGAGATAAGACAGACAAAACATAGAGTGAAGAAGGGAAAAGAATCAGGAGGGAGAGGAAGCAGATCCCATTACTGGTCCGGACTATCCAAAGTTATCTGCTTTCCTTTTTTCCCCAATCAAAGCCAAACTACTTCATAGAAAACTCCTGGATTCCTGGACACATGACAGTGATCTTCATGCCATCCTCTCCTTTCTGCATTTAAGCACTGTTCAAGAAGGCAATAACAACCGCGTTATTAATATACCTTGTGAAAACCTCTCTTTATTATTTTAATTGTATTTCCTGCTTCTTTTTGCACATTATACTTAAAGACATGTTAAGTATTTTAACCAGGATTTGTTTCCTACATTCTGTTTCTGTCGTATTCACCTTCAACTGTAGTTAACTTCCATGAGCTATTGTGAGGAATAGAAGGAATTGGATTTGCGTTACTTTGAACAACAGTAAGCCTAAGCTTACTTCTTTGCATGAGAGTGCTAGTGAACTAGCTATCTGATAGCTGTGAACCATAATTATAAATACAGTTTAATATTTCTCTTATGTCTACAGCCTAATGAGATTAGCGCTTTGTTGTACTCAGCACACATAAACAATTAATATGTGAGTTTCAGCTTCAAAGAGCAATTAGGATAATATGGTTCAAACCCTGCAAACTACTATGAAAAAACCATGATTACCCTTGCCAAATTTCAGCCCAGAGCCCAATTTATTATTAGTAGTTTTATAAACAGGTTAAATACAGTGAGTGAAAATAGTATTTAGAGTGGAAGTGCTGACAAAACCTTTACTGCAGCAATGTGGACAATGCAGCTGTAATAATGGCGTGTGCCCTTATCACAGCAAGAAAAATGTAAGGAGTTCTGATTTTGCACTGAATGAGCCATTACTTATGTCTATCACAAAGAAATAAGAGTACTGAACAAAAAAAAAGATACATTAAGGGTAGGGTTTTTTTCCCCCCAAAAGAAAACTAAAAATAAAAAAGATCAGATGTGACTCAGGCTTTCAAACAATAAAAATAGCAAGATAAAAGAACTAGGTTGCTTCATTGCCTAAAGAAATGGCTAGAATCTTAAAAAGTCTGAAACCTGATTGTGAGAGACTCACTTTATGGGCTGCTAAGAAGGTGCTGACCTTCGTCATCAATAGATTGTCTGAGCCTTTGTGGTATTCAGCAGTAAAGGAAGTGCTTAAAAAGTCATCCCGCTGAAAGATGGACTGGAAAAATCTCCGGTTCAGATCTCAGCATAGCTGTTGTTGGTGCACACGCTCATTCAGAAAGTCTGTCTGTAAATCTAATACAGATAAATCTTGCTTCATTTTTAAGTGATAAAACCGGAGCATCCTCACCTTAGAGATGGATCAGGATATCTGGAATTCAATATAAGTGAAATTATTATAGAGGAGGGCAGCTAATGACCTATCTGTTGTGGGGCTTTGGATGTGTTTTTTATAGTACTATATTTCTCTGTCTGTACTAGAGGACATTGAAGGAGTGGGATAACACTTGTACAAGTACCAGTGGTAAAATTTTCTTATTCTTGCTCCATAGTTTTGGATGCAGTTTTGCCTGTTCCAACATTTGCACTGAAATGAACTGTAACAGATCACTGCCCTGTGATTTCAAATGGCCTTCTGGGAGAAAAAGACTATTATAGATGAAAGAGTTTGGTTCCTATAACTTTCTGGAAAAGTCCCATCACTGTCTAAGTGGTATACCAATACAGCAGTTGTCATTATATGTATCTTCTAGCAGAGCGAATTAGCCATGGTGGGGTATCAGGCTAACACAACTATATGGCTGCTGGTACCCAAGTGAGCTCACCAAAAGACAGATGGGGTATTTTTGCACAAAATGCATACGCGTGTTGCAGATACAGCCATGCTCTGGCTGAAAAATGTGATGTTATCCTCTAGAAACCATGCAGCGTTGAACATTCACAGCAGAGAGCACAAAATACAGATGGACCACTAATGACTGGAGCTTCTGGGACAGCAGATGAGGTACAGCCAGACCATCCCGAACGAGGCAGCTTGTACCTTATGCTGCCGAGGAAGTGAAAATAAAACAAAACAATGACAACAAAAATCTCTGCCAGTTCCGATCGGGGTGGAGGGGAGGGAGAATTATTGTTCTCTCCGGATCTGATGCCTAATTTGTCTCTGAGTTTTAGCAAGCCATTCACGGGGCGCATTCAACGGCAGAGCACAGGTCCACTTGGACTGCTGTCGAATGGTCAATGTAAGGAACCTGGTTCGGAGTAAGAAAAATAATTATCGAGTCCCCTTTCTGCTTCCTAGCTGCCATACCGTTCCCCCTCCCGAACCAAAGAAGGGTATGATCCAGCAGGCCAGCACTGGGGAATCTCTCCTTGAATTTGCTCCTTTCTCCACAGCCTGTGCCATAAAAGGCAGCTGTGATCCTCAGAAACAGCCACTTGTGCTGCCTAATGAAAGATTTTACCGAAACTGGGAAACAGACCTTTTCCTGAAGTGCTGCCCCACAGGATTTATGTCTCAAAGAGCTGGTAACGGCAACGTGATGGTTGAGTTTCAAGGCAGCTTAATTCCCTCTGAGAACTACTAGAAGAAATTCCTCTCTCCTGTCCCTCCATTTAAATCAATGATGAATGTAGCCCAGTGGTTCTGCCTTGTCATATGCAGATTCAGGAAGATAGCACTGCAGTCTTTGGTGTTTAGAAAGGTTTAACTTCACAACTGTAAGGGCAAAAGCTTTTTTGGTTGAAATCAAAGTTTAAATTCTGAAGAAAAAAGCGCTCATCAAAGAACTGGCAAAGAATTTAACAACTAGGTGCCAGCTGAAGTGCCAGTGTGATTTATCAGCAGGTTCTTCTCTAATCTGATGTGAGATAATAGGAGAAGGTGTTGAAAGCAGAATCAAACTCGATACAGAACAAAAAGCATAAGTAATAGGGTTCATAAGATCATGCACATAAGGAAGTTTATGTTACCTAGTAGGCAGGCCACTCTCCCCAAGAAGGTTTTCTTAGATACCTTGGGAAATCAACAGACAAAACTGGAAGACTTTAAAAGATGAATGATCTTATGTTTCTTCTGCATTTATACTTCTTTCATGTAAGCCTCTCCATTTGGAGACATGTGGTTTCCTTACCAATAGACCCAACAAAATACTTCGCTGCAGTGGCTGGCAGTGCCATGGACAGAAGTCTCTTGGCAAAGTTTAACCCTCCAATAACCACAGCGCTGAACATGCTTATGACTGATCAGGATGATCATTCCTGAGAGCTCACAAATTTAGAGTAGTTTCCTTCTGACTATAGTGCTAAATTGTCTATCTATATTCCCCTGCATAGTGATTCATTAGAAGCATTTTACAGTAAATGCTTCCAAAATAAAAAACAGACATTTTAACCAAAGTCTCAGGAAAATACTTAACTGACAAAGATAATGATTTTCTAAAAGCTTTTCCCTGGAAGTGTTTTTTTATTGAGGCAGTGATTCAAGTGAGCCTGCCTGAGTTATAACGTGCTTCCATTGCACAACCCAAAGTCACGTTAATCAGCTTGAATACCTAAAAATACAATAGGAGCAGTACAAATCCACTTGGTACAGCAATGATCATTTCAGGTGCTGGTCCACCAGAATAATGTCCATAAGTGATTAAAGAATTGTTGGTCTGTATTTCACAGTTTGTGCTCTGCTTTTTTTTTTTTTTTATTCCATGGTAAATTATTTTAAACTTCTTAAGACAGTCTCAGGGTGAACAGTTTGGTCCAGCCAATTTGCCATTCATGCCAATGTCAACCCCCCATCGGATATAGGGCTTTGCCTTGGTGAGCTTTCTGGTGAGGAGGAGAGTCTATTAATTTTCCTTGAGGGGTCCTCAGTACTATATGGCTGCTCAGAGGAAAATTCCTGCAAACTTGTATCTGATGTAGCTTCTTAAATCTCATTTTCTCGGGTTCTATAGGACCTTCAGTGAACCCACCCAGGAGGCTGTGAAAGTCCTGTGTTCCCCCACCAGAACCTCAGATAGCCGTATACTGCGGGGCCACATGGAGACCCATCGCAGGTCCCATATGTGACAGTTATCTTGGCGTGACATGGCACCAAAGATGATCAGGCTCATCCCCTCAGCTGGGGCTGGGGCTGGCTGGAGTCTCTCTGCTCTGCAATACAGTGAAGATAAATCATAATTTCCTAAATTACCTAGTGCTGAAGCCAGCACTGAAAAACACGGCTTCCAATCTTTCGGCTATGCTATGGTTTGTTTTAAAAAGGGATTGAATGTCTTACAAACAGGTAAAATTGCTGCCAGATGCAAGTACATTAGCCTTTTCCAGCTGCTTTACTGCTGCCATTCAAAATAGCTTGCTATAAATATGATTCCTTTGAGCTCTATTCTGACAAGTGCGGAGCACTATCTGGGAAGGGCCGGTGGTTTTCCACCCCCATTGAACTCAGTAGGAGTTGTGATTGCTCAGCACATTGCTCAAAAAAAGTCTGCTGAAATTACTTTAAATCACACAATTATCCCCTCACCTCTCACTCCTTCTTTTGCAGTCGTGGAAGGAGGAATAAGTTTCTCCACAGGCAGTTCTGCTACGGTAAAGTTTTCAGCCTGGAGGTTGTGAACAAATGTCAAAATCAACAAGTTCCCTGCTTCGGGGCTGGAGACAGTCCTGGCTGCAATCTGGCTTAGCCAGGCGAGGGGGGGGAAAACATGACAAAGATTTGAAAACCTATTTACATTAAAATTCAGTATCAGCTTCTCACATGGCCTAAAATGCCTCTGTCTCTTCCCTTTACCCCTTTCTATAAATTTCTGCCCGTTCCCTCACGCCCGTTGCCCTAAACCGTAAAGGTTCACCGTAACCACAGCATCCAGAACACGTTCCAGCGACTTTGACAAGTGCAGTAGCGCGTACTGTAGAGCTCTCACTAAAACTCAACAAGTTGCTTATTGTTTAAAAGCTGTTTCTGGCTGAACACAAATGCATTTATTATGTATCTTTCCTTTGTACAATCTGTACCTGTAGTTGACTACATTAAGCAGGTCCTAAAAGTATGGAGGTCTGTTAAAGACTAACACAAGGTTAAAGGCTGAGTGCTTATGTTTAACAAACCATTCTGAAAGACCGTCATCATTACAGCTATTTACAATTAAACTTTTCATAACTGATGGAAAACCTGAGAAGAAAATTAGCTGTGCCTTCCACCTTTTCACTCTGAAGTCAGCAGGGGAAGATGAAAAGCAACATTTCCTTTGAATCTGAGCACAATTATGAGTTTGCAATGCAGATCAAGTCACCTTTCCTATTGTACAGAAACTGGTGTGGAGAAGAGGTTTATGAACTTGATCCTGCACCTTCTTGTACCAGTTTGGATCCACAGCCGGTTCTCTGAGCTGAGAATTAGGCTGTTAACTACTGGGTGAGGGCTGCTTCTTAGTACAAAGACTCATGTCTTTTGCAGATGGTTCAATAAGAAATGGCTTTGAGACCCAAATCCAGATCTGAATTTTGCTCAAACGCAGCTGAAGCTAAGACTCCACTTGGAGCTTGTGCCCCTCTGGGGAACATCCACTCTGCCTGATTTTTGAACATCCCTCTCTGACCTTAGTCACTGTGCTTACCAGCTCTCAGAAATCAGGCCACAGTGATTTTTTTGCACCCCGCAACAACATACAAAGCGAGTCAATCAGTCACAGGGGTTTGATTGTTTTTCTTTTGATTAAGAGCCAGATTTTCCCTTCTTGTTGCAGATATAACAAACTGATACACTGGCATTACTTTACATAAACAAACATCCATTATCAAGAGCTATCAAAAATATTTAAGATTCCTTAAACTTTTACACAGGAAAGAGGAAGTAATCACAGTGAGTCTGATATTCTGTGTACTAACTGTTGAAGAGTTTTCTCTCATAATGGCGCCTGCGATATGCCTGGTGGAGAAAGCATTTGCTTGCTTTTTTTGGCGTTGCAACCTTTGAGTGTTCTTAACTTTTCTACATTTTCTCCTAGGACTCTTTCTTTGCTCAAGTTACGGCATCAGAAAGCAACGTCAACTTCCAAAAAATCTCACAAGCATGGATGGCAAGAATGAAGCCTCTCAGCAAACGGGTAATAGTAAGAAGTCAAAGGCAGCGGCAAACAAATTGAATGATATTCCAGAAGCACGGCAAGAGGTCAAAAAACACCTTGGGGATGGAGCAGCAAAAAATAAAAGGGAGAGAATAAAAATGGCAGAGAAAAAGAAGGAAAACCAGAGTAATGACGTAGGCAGAGCAAGCCGTAAACGGAAATCAGAAAACAATGAAGAACTAGCTGTGAAAAAAGAAGAAGAAACAACATTAGAGACTAGTAATCAGGTAATCCCGACACCTCTGTCTCATATTCCTCTGAAAAGCCTCATGGACATAGAAATGGAGTTGGTCTACACTGATGAGGAGGACATTTCCTTCGAGTTTGCCGAGCCTGTGGCGTCTACAAGCACACAACCAGCGTGTCGTCGTTCTAAAAAAGCAGATGCTTTGAACGCACCTAAAGGCAGCGTTTCACCCCAGATTGCCAAACAGCTTCAGATGACCCTCCGGGAAGCCAGCACTTGCTATAGGCAGAACAACTACCCAGCAGCAGCGGAGCAGTTCTCAGCAGCACTGGAGGTACGGGGTTAAAGAAGTACGATCACCATAGCAAAGTAAATGAAAGGCTGTCATTGCACTGGCTGGGTGTAATAATATCAAAGTGAGCAAGGAGCACAAACCTGGGATGCGTATGGTTTAATAAAAATCCTGAGATGCAATTTCACATGAAATCTGGAAATTAAGAGCTATAAATAAATCCTAGGAGGAGGGAGGCACTGGACTGAACCAAAAAATCTCAGGCGATTTTGTATTTTTCTCTCTGTCTTCAACTGTATTTATCTATTGAGGAAATCTAAGTTCCATAGAGTGAAAAAATAATGCTCTTTTTAATCCCAGCTCTATCAGGGACAAGTGATATCTTAATAATCAGGGGAGTTCTCACTCCACCCCAGCTGTCCATGCACTACTGGGTGAAATGTTTAATCCTTTTGTTAAACACCAGGTCCATTTTAGTCTCCTTTTTGCCCTACAGCATTTCCATCACGCACTCCATTTTCTTTTTTTTTTTTTTCGCGGCCACTGGATCGGTGTAGAAATCCTTTTGTTTTTCTATATGAGAAAGGACAGGTCCAATAGTGAGCAACCCCCTCTGGACACCGTCAGCTTTCTCTCCAGCAGCTGAGAGCTGGGAGGGGGTTGTAGAAAGAAAGACTTCTTGCCTGCCTGAGATATAATATAACCTTGGCTGTGATCTTTGAAAATAATCTGTGATTTTCACGACTTTCTGCCTTTAAGTGCCCTAACTTGAGCTGTCTTCAACGGATCTGTTCTTCAATAATATTTTGATATTTTCAGAAGCAGAGCCCTTTCCAGTTTCAGGCTGACCCCCCCAAAAGGAGGCATCTAAAGACCTTTGACATTTTTTAAAATCTTAGCCAGCCTTGACTTTTATCAGTATAATATGAGAAGAAAAGAGTAAAAAAGGCAGTTCCTAACACTCTGGCAAGGTTGCAATTAATTTCACCAGAGGGAGGGAAGAGAAAGGATGAGTAGGAAACCCCAGCAGGTAGGTCACGGTTACATCCACCAGCCTCCTGGTTCCTGGAAGCCAGAGCTAGCAGCATTTACAGTAAAACTGATTGTTCAAAGTTGTATCATTATTCCCAGATTTCTCTAGTGCTGCTAATCTCAGTTAATTATATTGGAAATCCCTTGTATTATGACCATGTAATTCATAATGTGCCAGTAGAAGTCATGGTTCATAATAATCACATAATGGGCAAGGACTTAGACGTAATCAGATTTTAGTTACCCTGTCGTGTTTCCATAATGCTGCTATAAAACCGACATAATCACAAAAAAGCACCAGTTATTTAAACATTTTTATCAGATTGATGTACAGTATCTTTCTCTCTCTCTCTCTCTTTTTTAAACAATGTGAGATAACAAAAATTGGATTACAATTGCTGGGAACAGACTATGATAAACTGTTTGCTTGTGTGCAGAATGAAATTTAATAATGGCATCAGCATCTCAATTTTTAGTAATGTTAAACCTGTTAAATAGTAGCACTCTGCAGCCAAAGGCTGCTTTCAAAGAGGTAGCATTAGGGCTACAGTAACAGATAAAACAGTATCATCTCCAAGAGCATAACTGTCTTATAAACCTTAAAAGATGCCCTATATCCTCACAATTAACCCAGCTGCTAACATTTACTGCGCAGATGAGGGCTTGACTTTTTCCATGATACATGATGAAAAAAAACCCCACTCTTGGTAGCTGTAAGGATTTTAAAGGCCAGTGTCTGCTTCTCAAAATAAAATAAAAATAATAATAATTAAAAAAAACTAAGAAAGAGGGAGAGACCCTTTCCACTTTACAGGAATATGGTTGGTGATTAGAATACAGGACTTGCAAGCAGGACTCTCCCTAATGTCTTATCTCCACTCTGACCCCAAACACTTCAGCTCTGCACTTGACAACCTGAAAAAGGGTCCAACTATACTTGTTTCAGTGCTGTACTGCCAAACTTAGTTCAAAAGCATTTGTAAAACATTAGGGGTTTGCAGTTGACAAGCAAATATCCTCTTCCTTTTTTTTTTTCTACAATACTGAAGGCATTTTATTTTAAAACAGTAAATATTATAGCAGTGAGTGCGTAAAATTAGACAGTGCCATGCTTTTTTTTTTCCTACACTCCGAAATGAGCTGTGATGGGGACAAAAACACTTGTCACTTCAGAAGAAAGGAGTATTTGTCTCTTCCTGAGAGGAAATGGAAAGGCTAGCTAATAGACATCCTGGTGAAAGAATAAGTAGAGATTAAAGAATTCCTTCCTGGGACTGTGGACAGACTAACTGGGAAATCACAGAACTGTAGGGCTGGGGCTTCTCCACAGTCTCTTAATCCAGCTCTCCTCAAAAGCAGAAACAAGAATATCCCTGAAAGATACTTCTGTACTCTGTTTCTAAAAATCTCCAGTGAGACAGACTCCTCCTCTATATCAGCAAGCTGATAGAAAGTTTTACCCAGTCTTCCATGGTGCAAAATAACCCATAATGGTTTTGGTATCCTTATCTGACATGAAGAGCAATTACCCACCCTGTTCTCCCTGTACTTGCAACCTCTTAGCATATCTCTTTTCAGTCTTCTCTAAATTAAATAAATTCAATCATCTTCGTATTTCCCCCCAGGTCATGTTTTCTAAACCTTTGTATCATTTTTGTTGCTTTTCCCTGCATTGTCTCCAATTTGTCTGTTTGTTCAGCTATAGACAAACTGGAGATGATGCAGGGAAAACCAGAAAACAGAAGCTGTCGAGATTGAAACTGTGGTTGTTCTGCCCATTGCTTTTTGAAGAAACAAACAAAAATTCCGCTGCCTTTCATGTGGGTGAAGAGATGCGTGATATATAACAAGCTCAAAGGTCAGAAAGTTCAAAATTATGGTTTCTGGTGCAAAACATTTCCAGACATTTTTCAGATGCAAGGAAATTAAGGTTTTAGTCTGGCATTGCAACATGTTGAGTTAGCGACTCTCCTCCAGAAAAACCTGTGCATAAAGTTAAATTTCAGTAGTATCACTAAAGTTACTGCTACCTTACTTATTGCAAATATCAAACATTTCTTGGCTCTTCTCTAAGCCATATTGTCTTTTCCAGATCCATCTATATATTCATGTGGTATTATAATTCTTTAGACCATGTTGTTTTTCAGATATGCAAATAATAGGCAGTTGTGAAAATCTAGCACTGGATTTAGAAAAAAATAAAAAAAAAAAAAAGAAAGGAAAATTATTAGTCAGAAAAGGAAACTGAAATGCTTGTTTAATTTAAAAACTTTTGTATGTCAGACAGCATGCTGCTGATTACCACAGACATCGGGAAGGCAGTGTTATCAAGAGAAGAATTGGTGGCTTCTCACTATTTCTGCACTATTTAGCTACCATTAAATTAATCAGGAGGGACTTAATGTTAGTCAGCTGCATTATAGTCGGCCTGGGAGAGAGAAAAATAATGCTCCCTTGGAGAACTCTCACCATTAGAGCTTAAGAATTAAGTACTTTCTGTTGCTAGTGAAGAAAATAGCTGAAGAAATTGGGGCAATAGTCTTTGCTCTTCTACCTTCTAGCTCAATAATACGGTATATTAGATATACTACTGAGAAACACTGTAAATTTCCCAAAATTTTTGGCATCCATCTGCTGGAACATAGTGAAATAGGACTTGAACATCTGGACTGGGATATGAAGGGTATGAGAAATCATTCTTTAGCTTAAAACCTCAGTGGAAACCATACACGTATATCTATGAAATCTCTAGCCAATTATTAACAGCTTAGCTACACAATAACATTAAACCTTTATGAGGATCAAAAGATCTTGTCTCAAACTAATCTCCTAATATCAGAGACCATAAAAGACTTCAGAAACATCAGCCCGTTTAAAACCTGCACAAATTTAAATTTCAGACCCTGTTGTTCTGGAAATAATTCTCCCCTATGATTAAAAAATAAATGAAGAAGGTTCATGACTGCTGTGCGCAGAAAGAAGTCCACAGTATCTCGGCACACAGCTTTCGGCGTAGAATAGCTCAGAGGCGCGAAATGCATCCCACATGTGAGGTGAAGGCCTCAAACAGCGTGTGATTAATTCACCAGAGTGCTGTTGTGGTGCCTTCCACAAGCTGGAACATCTCCATTTTCCACAGATGGCTATTATGGGCACCGTTCCTATGGCAGGGAGATAAACATTAGTGCCATCTTTTTTGCGCACCTTGAGTTTTTAGATTAACCTTTCCTGTGGCTCATTGCCTTGTGATTCACTGCTTGCAGAGAAGGCTTTGTCGAGACCACGCTCCCTCTTCCAGGCAACGATATCTGCAGAAAGCATGGATTTTGAAAGCGGCCATGGCACCACCGGTGCCTCGTGGACGTAACTGCATGGCAATATAGAGTTAGGCAGCGTGGCTCAACCAAACCTTCCATCAATTTCATAATATGAGAAGCAAAAAATGGTTATTTCCTATATAAATACCTATGTGAAAAGAGGTTCATCTGAAGTAGTCTATCCACTGGTAGAGTGCATTAGAAAAGCACGGGCAGCTTTCTTAAAGGCATTGCTGCAAGGGCAGTCCTGGGAGCACCGCAGGATTAGGGTATTTGGATGTGCTCCCCGGTGTGACCATCACATCAGTACCAGCTGCTGCAGACAGACTAGGGCAGAGCCATGTTTCTGCCCACCCTTCCTCCCCCAGCATCATCTCTTTTTGCAGGTGCCTTGAGGTCCAAGAAGCCACCAATGTATAACCCCTCGCTTTATGGAGCACAGAGACTGGAATTCCTGCTCATCCGTTGGAATGCAAGGGGTAGAATGTGGGACTTTATAGAGTTTTCCCTATCCCTCTCACCAAGAAGAGCTGTGCAACATAAAGTTTAACACCATGAAACTCCTCAAGGGAGAGCATGTGAAACGCTAAATATTTATTTTTAGTACCAACTTTCTGGAGCTAAAGAATTAGGCTCATAAATTATCTGTCTTTATCATCAGCAGAGGTCCTCTAGAAACTTCCTGGGAGTATA